TGTGTTGTCTGACTCCGTTTTAAACTTCCCTTACCCTTGAAAGATGTGATTTATTAGATGTTGTCCTCCTTTGGATCTGTACTGTACCCTTTACCTTCTCATTTTCCCTAGGTGATCTTAATACAGACATACCCATAGAGATTCTGCTCATATAGCACCAATCCATTTCCATCCAAAATATAGGCAAGGCAGTTCCTCTGAAACTTGCATCACCGTGAATGTGCCCTCTAAAATCCTCAACTACAAATTCAACAACTATCCTGGAAAAATAACTGAAGGTAAATTAGTACATGTATTAAATATTTTAGGATGGAAACTGTTTTTACCTTTGTGATAGAGGTGGTACTACAGCTAATATATCAATATTTTGGAAAGATAGTCCTAACAGTTGTATTTACAGCTTCCAAGGAAAAGATACTGACTAGAGCTCACAAAGTAATGACTACAAACGCTGCTATTCTTTTGGTCTTAGACTAACATATGTAAGTTCCGAGACAAAGAACAGGAATTAGGGTCTTAGACAACTGTGCCTTTAAAAAGAAAGCCCTAAATATATGAACAGAAAAAAAATACTGTGTAAAGATTGATTTTTACCGCACATAACTGATTTGCTAAGCACAAAGATTTATTATCATAAGAAGTTATTATTTCAGGAAACTAAAGATCAAATCAATAATTTGGAGATCATTAAATCCTGGCAAGTGTATAGCAGTTGAAGGCAGGATATTTTATTGGAGCATGCGAGTATTTATATTTGGGGGAACTTTAGAGGTCATTTTCCTGGCATTCATTTAATTTTGGGTTAAGGAAAAGAAAACAAATTCTCTTTTTGGATGACTTCTGCTGAATGTTTTAGCACTATGTGATACTCTCCTTCACTACAAATTTGTGTCCCATATCTGTGATCAATAAAGCCAAGGCAGATGAGAAATGAAGTAATAAATTATAGTCTATATAATAATTCTAGAACAAAAACGTTTCATTCAAAGAAAGTATAAAAAGGTTTGACAAAAGGTGGGAAATTAACTGAATTTAGGTTTAAGACTGAACGTATCAATGTAAATAAAAATGAGCTATTACATATTTAAGAGTCACTGAATTAAAGCACCAGGTCCTTTCTTTCATAGGTTTTATCCTCTCCAGACACTGTATCCTTTTAAAGGCTTTCAAAACAGAGATCCATAAATCAGGATCCAAGTCACTCCATTTCATTTCTGAAACAGTGAAACTCTCTTCTCTTCAGGAGTAATCTATTCTTTTTGAAAGATGAATAGCATGTTCTGCAACTACAGCAGATAGATAGATAGATTGCCACTCTAAGGTCCATTCTACAGAAAAGATGAAAAGTGGACCAGAAGTCATTTATGGGAAATGATGAATAGAGAAAGACCAAATGACAAAGCTTCCTGCGGTGAGATGCCTGTGTGGCTGTTAAGCATCTTGCATCCTCATTCACCTCCCTCTATTTCTAGTTTTCTCCCATTCTCCCATACTATATATTCTTCACTTCTTTCCTCAATTCCTGTCTCTTCTCATGTGTCTGCTCTTTCCTAATCTCCTCTCTCCTTTTGTCCAAAGTGTCATAAAGTCCACTAGATACACAACTTTGACCTATAACAAGCATTGCTAGCATAACATATATTCTTCACACACATATATATTCATGACATATTCATTGTTAGCATTATATATATATATATATATACACTTTTTATTAGCAGTCATCTATGATAGCTACAATGTTGGATATATCTAAATGGATTTATATATTCAACTTGATAAAGAAACACTGTTTCTGAAGTTTGCTTTTTGGAAATAAAATTGCATTTGTGAAATACTGTCTAGAAGCAGAAGCATCCATTTAGAAGTAATATTAGGAAATGTGAATACAATGAAAAAAAAACCTAAGAAATAGCGAACAAATATCAGTTGAGCACATGAGAATGGAATATGTAGTCTGAACACATTTAGAATAAAAAATGTATTGTTCAGGATATTAACCATAATTAATTGGATTGGAAAAGTATAATGAAAATATAAAAGAAAGGTTAAATAGTAACTAACAAAAATAATTGAAGTGTTAACTTTAAATGAGAGGATTAAAAATTTAATGTATATTCTAGGCTAATATGAAAAGGGTCAAGCTTAGAATGAAATTAAGTCAAATCTGGAAATTAAGATATAGCACATAAGTGAATGAGCAATCTTACTGATCCTCAGTGTTGTTGAAAAAAAATGAGGGCTCCACAAAATTTCTTTTTAAATGTATCTGAATATTATTATATTACAGAGCATATTATTTAAGCAAATGGTTGTCCTAATATAATGTAAAAAATAGTACCCAACAGGGAAACTTGGCTAAGCATAGTTTTCTTTATAACTATACCTGAATACAACATATTTTTATGTATTAAGACACAAATTGTCCAGATAACTTTAACAGCTTCTTGGGAAGACCTTCTCTGGTCTGAAGGACAATAAAATTCTGGACTCTATGCTGGGTATGTGCTTGCAATGAAGGAATCTCAACTGAACTTGAACTTTGGTCATGCAACAAGGTGGAGGAATCCACCATGGGGGGAGAGTGGTGGGAGGGGCAGGGGAAATCCCAGTGCCTATAAAACTGTATCACATAATATTATTAACAATAAAATAAAAAAAGACACAAATTATCAGTTTTTGTTTACATATAATTAAATACAATTATAATATGAATTAAATAAAATTATAATATTAAGCTATAAAAATCTAGCACTTAATAGGAAAATTTAAAATTGTTTTCTTCTTCAATTAATATAACTAGCAAAAGACTTCTACAGAGTGAATTTATGTGCCTATTATGCATGCCAAATTCCCTGTCTTTAGAAAGATAAAAGTAAATGGAATATTTTCACATTCCATCCATGATCAATTATAGTTCAATGCTAACAGGGAACTTCAAGTTGAAATACCAGTGGAGTTTACCACATAATAATTTAGAAATCAAATTTACAGATAAAAATGAATCCATAGATGTTTAAATATTGTCAGGCTGACACTGTAACAGTTTGCATTAAAAATACATTGTCAACTACCATTTAGAACCAAGTGTTAACTTGGATTTACTATTGTTGAATGATAAAAGTCACAGGCTTCAGAAAAAAGCAATACCTTCAAATCTTTTAATTTCAATGAAATTCTAAGTAAGCACCAAAATAGGGCAGATACACCAATTTTCTTTAAACTATAAATTTCTAATATATTTACTTGCTATTATTCAGGGTATAAAAAAGGGGACTGCACCAAAATGAGATTCTTCTTTGCATTACTTATTATAGAAACATTTTTTTTTCTCACACAAACTTTCAGCACATTCAAATCCCAAGCCTAACGTATTCTTCAAAAAGTGTTAGGCTGGTAAATTCAACAATAGCTTGAACCTGTACTACACAATTCTGAACCAGTAGGACAATGTCAATGGCAGATTTTTTTTTCATTTAATATAAAGAAAACAGTTTGCTTTAAATTCCAGATTTATGATCCTGATTATAATGACACTTATCTGTCTACCAATCTCTATCCCCTTCCCTTTTTATTACTTCAAGTTTTGTGTTAACATAAATTAATTTACTATGTTAACAGCAACCACAATAAAGAGTTGATTGATTTAAAACTAGAAAAACCACTATATACATTTAGTATATAACCATTATATACATATAGTACATATATGTATACTATATATATACAGAAATGTATACAGGAGCTCCATAAAGCAATCAAGTAATGAGATGTCTATTTCACTCATTAAGTTATTTTTCTGTCCTATATGAGAGAAAATATATGAGATAAAACAGTTGACTTTTGGGGACTGGCTTATTTCACTAAGCATACTGGTCTCCACGGATATCTATTTTGTTGTAAGAGGTAGGATTTCATTCCTGTTATGGATGAGTAGTAGTTCATGTGTATGTAAACCACATTTTCTTTATCGGGTCAACAGTGGTTGGTATCTGGGTTAATTCCACATCTTAGCTATTGTGAATTTACTGCTACAAAATGAGAATACAGATGACTCTTTCATATGCTGGCTTTATTTTTTAGGGGGGGGAGGGAGTCAAATTTCCAAGAGTGGGATGGCAGGATTTCCAGATGTTATTTCTAGATTTTTTGAGAAATCCCCATACTATTTTCTATGATGATAGATGGACTTTGCTGCAAACATTTTGAACCTAAGTGAAACACTAATATCCAAATGGCTGCATTTGTTTTGTTTTGTCTTGGGTTTATGTTTGTTCATGTGTATTTTTAGCCCTTCAGCCTAGAGCAGTAAGGGTAAAGATGAAGTACCCACCTGTTTTATGCCATCAATACTTTCACTATGGAGGCAGAATGGCAGAAATGCAATTTCTGAGCAATTATAAGCACTTGCTCTGAGACCAAACTGCCTAATACTCAGGCTCACTTCACTACTCATTCTGTAAACATAGAGAAGTAAAGTAACCACACTGGGCTTCAATTTCCCCATTCGCTAAATACTGGTAATAAGAATAACAATAATAATAATACTTCCTCTAGTTAGTCTGTTTAAGAGGATTAATTAACACAAACTAAGTATTTACAGCAGTATCTGAAACTGGATGAATATTCAAGAAAAACAAACTATTATAATATTACTATTTCAGAGAAATTCAGTTCCGTAATTTTATTAAACATTGAACTTGTATCTTCCCACCTAAACTATTGAAGTTTAAAGAATTCACAGGAGATTTGGTTAATCTACATTCACTTACATTTTCAGTACCAAGTTGCACAGCTTAAGGGCTTTGTGGGAAAAGTCCCTTAAAATAAAGCAGTGTTGAAACAAAATATTAATTTGGACATAAACATGCACTTGACATGATATTAGATTTATCTGTGAGCTCCAAAAAAAAAAAAAAGAAAGAAATCCATCCTTCCAAATTCAAGAAAAATTTTGAATCACCAGTGTATTTTCTGGATGCATGAAAAATTTCTTTATTATATGAACTTTCTTTTGAACTTTTACTACTTGCCAAGCGCAGTGCAAGATAAGTATGCAGGATTAAAAGTTTATAGCATAAGTCAAAACTAACTGAAAATTGGCTGGTTACATGATTGAATTTTTCCTGGTTGTTAAGGAAGTTAATGTTTAAATGTATAATTTACTGGTAACTTTGTTACTGATCTCATGCTGGTTTTTAAAGCTGTTTTGTTTTATTCAGAGTTTCCAATTATTTCAACATTGTTTACATTCTAGATCTTAGCTGTATATATCAATTCAAACTACCTTCATCTCATGAAATCTTGGTTAATCAACAGCTTTTCATTATGGTTTTATTTAATGTCAATATTTTTCTGTATGATATAGGTTTGTAATTCCTTTGGAATTGATTTTCATTACTGAGAGTGACATATGGGTCCAATTATGTATGTACATACATTTACATACATTCATACATACATATTATCAAAGTCCAAGTATCCTTTACTGAAAATCTATCCTTTTGTTATTAATTTACAATATTCTCTATCCTATCTCAGGCATTTATTAACTTATAAATGTATTATGGATAATGGCTGGCATTGCAGCTTAATGAGGTTAATGCTTGCCTGTGAATCTGGCATCCTGTTAGAGGGTGCTCTACTTACAATTCAGCTCCGTGCTAATTTCTTGGGAAAAGAAGCAGAAACTGACCTAAGTGCTTGGACCACACCACCCATGTAGAAGACATCCATGCAGCTTTTGACTTTTGACTTGCAACTGGCACACTGGTGGCAACTGCACCCATCTGAAGAGTGAACCAGCACATGGAAGGGCTCTCTTCTCTCTCTCTCACTCTCTCTCTCTCTCTCTGGCTCTTTCTGGTTCTTTCTGGCTCTTTCTGGCTCTGTCTTTCCTTCTCCCTGTCTGTAACTCTGACTTCAAAATGAAGAAATAAAAGTTTTCATTTTTTACATATTTTTAAAATACATCCTGTTGGTTCTGAGTTCTCAAGCAGCATCACATATACTTTTTTATAATTCATATATGGAATGACTTAGAACTTATAAGGCAAATGACTGATAAGATAAACTTTAATAACAAAATGTAACCTGTCAGTAAAATGAGCCAATTTTTAAAAAATTTTGACGCTATTTTGTAACTTTATACATGTTTATGGTGTACAGTCTAATTAAAAAAAATACATTCAATGTGTGGAGGTCAAATCAGGTTTGTTAGAATTTCCATTCCCCTAAACATTTTTTAAAAACAGTGATTAAGACCTAATAGTTGTATATATTTATAGAATACAATGTGGCATTTCATTAAATGTAAACCATGAATACTGACCATATCAGGACAACCAACATTCTCCTCCACTTGTCATTCGCTTATGTTTGGGAACTTTAAGTCCTCCTATTTGAGCAGAAATATGTAAAAGGTCATGTTCACTACCTGTGCTGTAGAACACCATTGATGTCTTCTGTCTGTATCTTAGCCCCATTAGCCAGCATCTTGTTATTCCTCCTAACTGCTTCCAGGTGCCACTAATCACTATTTATAACATAGCAATCTCTGTACTGGGCACACACTTCGCAAGATGTAAGACTTGCAATCTACCAACATGTCCATAAATAGGAAAATAAAATGCACATGCTTATGGTGGAAGATTATCCACTCATAGGAAAAATAAAATCCTGCTATTTAGGGCAAAAAATTGATGAAGCCTGTGTTAAGTGCCTTAATCCAGACATAGAGCGATACTGCAGGGTCTCCCTCATTTGTAGGAATTAAAATTTTTTGAAGAGAACTATTTGGTGATTAAATTACAGCTTATTTGCTATTAGAGAAGTTGTCATGCCACAAAATTCAAAATTCTGTTTTTCTAGATTTTTCTTAAAGATTATTAATTCAGAGGCCTGAACATAACTTGTTTTTCACCTTGGTAAACTGTTCAGAAAATAATGTATTTCTGTCACTCTCTTGCTGTCGAGGAAGGATGATAAATCTCATCACCTGTCAGTTTTCTGAAGTAGGCAGCCTGATTTTATAAACAGCATTTTTTCTCACGCCATAATAGAATTTACACAAAATATTATGTTAATGCATCACACACACAGAGTATATGTACTGTAGCAACAATAAAAACAGAAACGCCAGACACTCATATGTATAATGTAAAGGTAGGCAATCATTACTTCATCATCTTTCATGGTTAAATAAATCTAAAGACAACAAGGAAAATTAATTCTTTAGCTATTAGAAAAGTACGAATACATAAATTTGGACTTGTTCACAATAATTATGATTAAATATGTTCTGTATCTTCAAATACGTCTTATCTTTTTCGTGAAAACAGTTATGAACATATGGAAACATATGGTAACAATATTCAATAGAATGACTATGTATCAACATATGCATACAAATAAAAATTTCATCTTTTTATTAGTGTTAACATAAAACTTTAGTGTGACAGTAAATGTGTCTCAAACAGCTACAGTTGTGGGAAATTTTCCTACTTATATTGTTTAGATAGATTTTTCATAAAGTCTTATGAATTGTTTAAATGTTATTTTCATATTAATCACACATTCAAAATTAGATTTGACACTGAAATATATGCATAGTTAAAAATACATGTCCAGGGCCAAGCACGACAGCATAGCAGTTAAAGTCCTCGCCTTGAATGTGCCAGGATCACATATGGGCACCAGCTCTAATCCCGGCAGCCCCGCTTCCCTTCCAGCTCCCTGCCTGTGGCCTGGGAAAGCAGCAGAGGATGGCCCAAAGCTTTGGGACCCTGCACCCACGTGGGAGACCTGGTAGAAGCTCCTGGCTCCTGGTTTCAGATCATCTCAGCTCTGGCCGTTGCAGCCACTTGGGGAGTGAACCATCAGACAGATCTTCCTCTCTGTCTATACTGCTCTCTGTATATCTGACTTTGCAATAAAAATAAATAAATCTTTAAAAAAATACATGTCCAGTTTCTAAACTTAATTTCAGAACTTATTCACAACTTTTCAATGAGATAAAACTATTTTACTTGTAACGTTTTACTTGGGGCAAACAATTAGTCTTTCTTAAATACACTGTCCAGGGGCTGCTGTTTTGGCACACAGATTAAGTCACCAGCTATCATTGTGGTATTCCATATGGTATCAATTCATGCACAAGCTATTCAGCTTCGAATCCAGGTTACTGATAGCGTTCCTGGGAATGCAGTAGAATGTGGCTCCAGTGTCCGGTCCCTGCACCCCTGAGGGAAATCCAGAAGAAACTCCTGGCTCCCAGTTTCAGACTTGTCCAGTCCTGGCTATTGTAATCATTTGGGGAGTGAACGTGCAGGTGAAAGCGCACTCACTCGCTCTCTCTCTCTCTCCCCTTCCCTCCTCCTATCTCTCACCCTCTGCTCTCACCCTCTATCTCTCACCCTCTGTCTCTCACCCTCTGTCTCTCACCCAATGTGGCCCTTCTAATTTATAAATAATCTTTACAAATAAATACTAAGGTATTCAGATACATTACTTTAAAGCTAGTTTAAAATGAATAGAGCTCAGTTGCTATAATTTGCCCCTATATTTAACAACATCTTTATATATGGCAAATTCATTTTAAATATTGTACATATATGCCAATAGTTCATATTTTTCTCATGCTGGATGTTATCCTTGAAAATGTACACAAAATGGGCCCAGCACAATGACTCAGTGGCACTAGATCCCATATGGGCACCAGTTCATGTGCTGCATGCTCTATTTTCCATTTCCCATCCATCTCCCTGCTTGTAGCCTGGGAAAGAGTGAAGGATGGCTCAAAGTCTTGGGATTTTATACCCATGTGGGAGACTTTTAAGAAGTTCCTGACTCCTGGGTTTGGATCAGTGCAGCTCTGGCTGTTGTGGCCACTTGGCGAATGAGTTTTTATTCAATTTAATGTTAGAATGAGAGGCAGGGAAAGAGGGAAAGAGGGAGGGAGAAAGAGGGAGGGAGGGAGGGAGGAAGAAAGAGAGGGGGAAGGAGAGGGGGGTGGAGAGAGATAGGGAGAGAGTTGCTTTACTCCCCTTAGCTGCCACTGCTAGGGTTGATCCAGGAAGAAGGTGAGAAACCAAAACTCCAAACAGGTCTCTCATGTAGATGGCAAAACCCAAGAGTTTATGCCATTCTGCTTTCTGCCGGGGGACATGCTTACAGAAAGCTGACAGGAAGCCCAGCCAGGACATGCAGGTAGGTACTACAGGATACGGGTTCTGGATATCTCAAGTGACAGTTTAACTTACGTGACCACAATGCCCACACTAGGTGAGTACTTTATGATGCTGAATCCTATATTTCAAGAAAATAATAATACACTAAAATATTTTTTAAAAACTGCACTTATCCAATATTCTTCTTTATTTTAGCATGCACCTCGTGAATGACTACTATCACTTTCAGTTATGTTAGACTTAATAGTGATCATAGGAATTACTTCTAAAATTTTTGCTCTTTCTTCATTGCATAAATAAAAGCAATAACTGCTATTTGTTCTCATGTTAAAAGTTATTTAATACTTCATTTTCAACCCGAGATCTTTTTAACCGACTTTGCTATTTTTGACTATTTGACACAGATAGAGGGACACAAATAATAAGACAGCGTGACAGCCTATCTGTTGGTTTATTTCGCACCCCCAAAAAGCTTATAGGAACTAGGGAGGGAGCCATGAAATCCATGAGGTAAATCATGCAGACTGAAGAAACCAATTCCTTGAGTCATTACTCTGTCAACTTTCCCCCAAACCTCCCAAAAAATGCACTAGCAGAAGGCTGGAATCCAGTGTTTGATTCAGGACTCAAACCCAGGCATTCCAATCCGGCTGGATCACCTGATGAGCTGCTGGCTTATTCAACATAATTAAAACACCCATTCATAAAATGCCTTGAACAAAATGCTCATGATAGTTTCATTTATAATAGTCACAAGCTGAACACAAATTAAATGCTGATAGAAAATGTGTGGTATTTTCAGACAATGGAATATTTATTTGGCAAAAAAAAGAGAACACAATACTGAAACAAGAGTAATTCCACAGAAAGCAAAAAAAATTAATATTGAGGTTTATGGCAAATGTTTTAATAATTCTGTATTTTTGAAAACTCTAATATGTATAACAAAATAAAGGAAATTAATTTCTACAATATCTACAACACAAGCATTTCTTCTTAGGTTATATAAATACTAATTGGAGGGCCCAGTGGCATGGCCTACCGGCTAAAGTCCTCACCTTGCACACACCAGGATCACATATGGGAACTGGTTCTAATCCCGGCAGCCTGGCTTCCCATCCAGCTCCCTGCCTGTGGCCTGGGAAAGCAGTAGAGGACGGCCCAAAGCCTTGGGACCCTGCATCTGTGTGGGATACCCGGAGGGGTTCCTGGCTCCTGGCTTCGGATAGGCATAGCATTGGCCATTGCGCTCACTTGGGGAGTGAATCATTGGATGGAAGATCTTCCTCTCTGTATATCTGACTTTCCAATAAATAAATATTTTTAAAAAATACTAATTGGAGTTGAGAACACAAATAGTATGAACTAAATGCAACAGGGCATATTAAAACATTTCTAGAAAAATAGAAATAAATTTTTTCACCTGAAAGTTTAGAAATTCAGTATAAGGATCTTTGAAAATGTAACAAAATGCATAGTATGAAAAACGATGAATGAATTTCAAGCATTTTATAACACATTATCTTTTAATTCTATTTTCTTTAAACTCCTTAGAGTATCTTTGTACCAAGTAGATCAGAGAGGCTTATTTTTATTCGTCAGTAAAGCTAGTACATAATAGCACACGATCATAAATGTATCAGAGGTCCGACAACAGAAATTATTCACCTGTAGACCCATAGACATGATATTTAATTGGGAAAGCACTAGATCTACAGTGATTAAATGGGGGTGAAATTGAACTAAGTCTACATATTCATGAATCCTTTATAGCTGGTAATATGTTTTCTCTGGATGGTTAGCCAGGATGTTAGGTTTGGTGCAGAGGGAATAAAATCCAAAACTGGCAGATTGTTTTCTAGTCAAGGACATCACAAAGAAAGCAACCTGAAAATTAACAAATGGATCCAGAATTTGGCTATAGTCTATATACTCCCTTAAAAAAAGAGAGAATTTATTTTAGAAATGTGAAAGAATAAATTAGTTAACAATATCTAATGCAAATTGTCTATAATTTTTAAAAGGCTTCAATCCACTATATACTCTTGTTAGTTTTTCTCCTTATCAATCCACAGACAGCACAAAGCACTGCCATTTCACATTCCGCCTACTCACAATGCACAAGTTCCAGAGCCAGGCAGCACTTATTTAGAACACTGCTTTGTGTTAATTTTCAAAGATGCTAGGTCATCACTCACTTTTTCAAGTTTAATTGGTGGTGTGCCATTGCTACCAGCATATGCCTATTTGTATTTGAAATAGTCTACCATCCCAAAATAGAAAGAAAAATCACTATCCTGGTTTCAGAAAAAAAAAAATGGAGAGTGGAAATGCAAGAACAGGTAATTAGCTTTTTCCTGATTTTTAAAGTGTGCCCTGAGGGAATCTCAGTTTTAACTCATTACTCTAGAACTGAGAAGCCACAATCAAGAGTCCTCCCAAGCCCTCTCTTCACAGAACTTACCCTTACACTTCATACCCTTCGGTTTCACTCTGTTGCCAAATCAGTTACAAAAAATTGAGAAGTAAAAAACATTATTCTAATAATAATGCTGAACAATACAATATTTCCATAAAACCAAATCATAATTTTTCAGGATTTTTAAAGCTATCAATTTAGATATCATGCTGAATTTTCTAGAGTAAAAACAATATGATTTTCAATAAAACTACAGATTAACAATTTGTTATAGTCCATTGCTATCGTAATAATAATGTTCCATGATTTTTTGGCATGTTTTATTTATGTTTAAGATGTTACAGAACATGGTTGCCTTACCCATTTATCCCTGGTGAATTTGAAAGTGTGCCAAAAGAAAAGTTCCAACAGCATTAAGAAGCACTGGAAATGCAATTGTTGAAAAACCATGTTGGCAGTAAAATTTTCAAGTACAAGTCTCTGCTTAACAACCAAAAGTAATTGCAGAACTAAGCACTGTTGTTGTTGTTGTTGTTGTTTTAATCCAAGCAACTCCATTCTTCTTGAGCAGATACAATATTCAAAGGAATGGACTTGTGGTATGTTAACAGATACGTGAAAAAAGTAATCCATCTCTATCCTAGAAGCTTAATTTTCACTGGGATGCTTACATAAAACAGTCAAATTTTAATATAGCATATAGTGTGACTCATCAGTAATGAGCAATACTGTATCTCTCTTACATTGAAATACTCAAAGAAGCTGATTAGATAGTACCATTCACTTACTATTATCTATTGTCAAAGAAAATAACAATACTTGACAAACTTTGCAGCTAGTTCAGTGTTCTGAATCCAGAACTATGTGGCAATTTAGAGTAAAAATTTTTATCCCCCTACCAAAGAAGAAGAAATATCATTGCCTTCCAAAAAATCACACACACACACACACACACACACACACACACACACAGAGAGAGAGAGAGAGAGAAATTGCAATACTAATCTAGAAGCTACCATAGCAGAGAGTGCATTATCATCTCTCTCTGGATGTCCATGGAAGTGCCTGTAATTCTAACTGTAAACTCTTTGGCAGCAGCATTGCAATCAATGCTTCAATGGTGCTTGAAGTACACTGAATTATGCCTTTTCATCTGTGGGTGCTTTTTGTCTGCTAATGAACTTAAACATTCTGTTAGCCTTTTCACCTCCACCGCTTTCCTTGCATCAATATTTCCATCAATTGATGAATCTCCTCCAATCCTAATAAACCTGGATTCAAACGGGCTGCCTAGTGACCTCTCTGACGATAGCGACAGGGAACAGGGAAACATCTTGGGAAATACGTTAGCCCCTATAGGCAAAAATGATGAATGTTAGAGACGATCTCAGAGGAATGGAATCTATCACACATGTTGAAAGCACATGCAACGGGGTGCAAGGATTCATCAGGATGAATATACACAACAAGTATACGTGGCAGTGTGGTGCAGGTTGGCCAGTATAGAAGCTGCCCTCATGCGTGGGCAATAGAATCGGAGACTGCTGCTCTGTCACAGTTACAAGGAAGCAATCCAAATTATTTCAACATGTATTAGTACTTTTGAGTACTTTATTCTGCCTTCTTATAGAACACTTACTAGAGCAACCATAATTATTTTATTGCACATATTCCTGTGCAATTTACAAACTTTCAAGATCAGCTTAAAAATACTCAATAGGAGACTAAATAAGACAAGGAAACGACCAAAAGGAGAGCACTTTTCTCTTTTTGCTTCCCACAACATCAACCGTATCACTGATTTCCCCTAAATTGTGTATAAACATAAATTATTATGTCTGTGCTTCTGATTTATCTTTCCAAATATTTCCTTCTATCAAGAGATGAAAAATTCAAACTCTCTCTCTCACCCTTGATAGATTACATCATGAGATTCAGAAATGATACAGTGCCTCAAAAGTTGAAAAGCATTACCCTAACAACGAGAACTAAAAATAGGAAGTAGAGTAAATCAAGATCACCACATATGTGTCTGCATTTTATAATCTACCATGCTCATGAGAAAATGAATAAAGATTTCATTTTTATAGAATCAGAGAAGTTTAATAATACTCCTTAAAGAGGTGGGTACTATTATCCAGCTTGAATATTTATTGGTGTTTCTTTTATTACTAAATTATGAAAATCTTTCTAATTTGAAAAGTTCATTTTGGTATATTTGAGTTAGTAACTGATTAAGAATAGTAACATGATTACTAGGTATTGAAGCAAATGCTGCAGCAACAGGATTTAATATAAGAAGCTAGTATAAAGGTAACTGTTTAAATGGTATGCTCAAACATAGTAAGGATCAACACAAAAATGATGCTTGCATTCAGGCAAGTGTGCTAAATCTACGAATATTTATGTATCTATATCTATGCATCTATGTATATCTATGCATCTGTCTATCTATATATGTATAAATCTATGTATATCTACATATATAGAGAGAGAGAGAAAGAGAGAGAGAGAGAGACAGCCAGCACGTAGGACCAGAGAGAAAAGGTATGTAGGAATAGAGGAGATGGATAATTTCTGCCATTTATTATTATGATAGAAGCTTGTTCTTTTCCATTGCAGACATGAAAAAAGAAAATCCATATTAAATGTCACTGGCAGTACGAAGATTAGCCCTTTTCTAGTAAAAGTAGATCTCTACTGGGCTTGCTGGAGGCATAATTGTGAACCAGGAGGAGCAAGTTTAACAGATTAGGAAAATTATTCACATTTCTCTGAAGACAGTGTTGTCAGCTTGTTTCCATGAGAAAAAGACTTAGATGGGGGACTTACACAAGGAATTAATTGCAGCAAACTTTCATCATCTACGTTCTCCAGGGAGGATGAAGAGCAGTACTGGGCAGGGGACAACAGAACTAGGAGCTGTCTGCACTCAGCTCTCCCAGATGCACAGGAGTGTTTCAGTCCTGAATGGAGCATTTGTTGGTATATTGCTATAACTCCCATTGATGTCCATGTGAAAGTGAGGTCAAAAATTGGAACAGTTCTACTTTCTAACATTATGCACTTATCCTTTGAACTAAAAAGCTTGGGAACATCAAGGGCACTAAATCCCATTGTAGGGGATCAGGTACCTGCATCTTGGTCTTTAACCCATTTAATTCTAACTGATCAAGCCAACTTAACTGTGTCTGCTACTCGTGGGATACTACTAGATGTTTCAGAAGTCACAAAATGTGCTTAAATATGTAAAGGAATAACAGCCTCTCCAAAATATAGGATGATATATTTATTTTCAATCAGGAAAGGAACCACTGAAGATAATTCCAGTGCCACCATTACCAGAATTCAAGGATGATGGCTGTTACCACATGTAACCTGTCCATCCATCTAACATCTTTGATATTTCTTCCTCAAAAGTGCTTGTGAATCTGGCCACCCCAAACGGTGGGTGGGATCTTTACCTGCCTCTGCACACATTCTCCTGGAGCAAAATTCTCCTAGAGAAAATGTCTGTGACACAAATCTGAGAAAAATGACAATGAATGAATGAAGATAAAAGAATAGCTATAGGGCCTGGTGCGGTGGCGCAAGTGGTTAAGGTCCTCGCCTTGCACGCCCGGGATCCCATATGGGTGCCAGTTCTATCCCGGTAGCCCCGCTTCCCTTCCAGCTCCCTGCCTGTGGCCCAGGAAAGCAGTCGAGGACGGCCCAAAGCTTTGGGACCCTGCACCTGCGTGGGAGACCCGGAAGAGGCTCCTGGCTTCGGATCAGCATAGCATCTGCCATTGTGCTCACTTGGGGAGTGAATCATGGGACGGAAGATCTTCCTCTCTGTCTCTCCTCTCTGTATATCCACCTTCCAAATAATAAAAATAAATCTTTAAAAAAAAAGAATAGCTATAAGGGATGAAATCATGCAAGCAAGAGAAATGTTTAATTCTTATTAAAAAGTATAAATCTTAGGCCTAAATATTAAGAAGGAAGAAAGAAGCCTTTATGCAAAAGGAAAGAACAGCTGATCATAATATCAGGAATGTGTTTAATCAGAAGTATTGATATATTCTTTTACAAATCAAAACTGCAGAGAGAAAAAATGACAAAGAGAATTTGAACAAATTCAACAATTTTGATGACCCATTCTGATGCCAATATTTTATAATATTTTACTTGTAAAAATAGTAAGTGAATCTATTTGTTTAATGCTCATGGATTATTTGTATCTGAAGCCATTATACGCTAATCTATAATGGTTTTTAGATTAGTAGATTATCTTTGAAGACATATTTTAACATGGTTGCACAGTACATCTAAGTACAAAAACATTAAAATATTTTTCAATAAAAAACAAAGATTATTTCTTGTAAATCACAAATAGAAAGAATCTAAAATTGAATTGCAAACTCAAATAATATGTAGAATGATATCCAATGAATACAGAAATATTCAGTCTTACATGTTTTAAGAGAGATAAATGTCAGAGGAGTGATAAGAAAGGCTACAGAATACTAAAGAAATAAGATATTTTAATAATTTAAAAAGCTCTGAAGAACAGAAAAGTAAAAAATAAAATAAAATAAACGAAATTAAAGCAAGCATAAGTCCTAAAAGAGAAACATTGTGAGGACAAAAGCAATATGGAAGTTTTTTCATGTTTTCACAGATGAAGAAAGGAAATTATGTGATATTATCTGAACAGAAGATGATACACACTTTGATTCCAAAGGAAATAAATAATAGTATTAAGAGAGAATGGTATATGATTATGTCTAAAAAAGATTCAAAATAGATGGTTTATATTTAAATGTAAATCACTTTTATTTTAAAAGTAAAGAAAAATGTTTTACTCATACCATCCTGCCATACCATTTTGTATGTTTACAAAAATTTAATGAATATATACAAATCATTATCAATGATTCTAGGGAATATAAGATTATAGAATATTCTATTATTAAGATTTGTACAGGGCCCAGCACGATAGCCTAGCAGTTAAGGCCCTCGCCTTGAACAAGCCATGATCCCATATGGGCCCCAGTTCTAATCCCGCAGCCCCACTTCCCATCCAGCTTCCTGCTTGTGGCCAGGGAGGGCAATGAAGGACAGCCCAAGACTTTGGGACCCTGCACCCATGTGGGATACCCGCTTGGGGAGTGATTCATCAGAGGGAATATCTTCCTCTCTGTCTACCTGCTCTCTGTAAATCCACCTTTCCAATAAAAAATAAATCTTTAAAAAAGAGGATTTCTACAAATTGTAAGCTTAATTATACAACATCAAAAACTGCCATCTGATTTCAGTTGAAAATAAAATAAAAATATAGAAATGGTTACTTTTAATAACACTGAATTTCCAGTGTTAGTATGTTTCCTTCTATGTAGGAATGCCATGAATACTGTTACTGATGATTTATTTCTATAAATGTGCAAATTTAAAAATAAAATGAATGAATTGCAACATGCTGTTCTTGCACATATGCCTTCTTTAAATAAGCTTTAAAGATTTGTGATTGCCTATTTTAAGGAAATCACATAAAAGAGATATGGTATCTAAGATGGAAAATATTTCAATGCATTGTCTGAAGGAAAAGAAAATTATTACAGAGACATAAGAAGGTGTAAGTTTAATGAACTACAAAGCCAACTGAAGGTGCATTTCCTTTCTTTACGGAAAAAAATAGCTGTCTTGCAGTTTTCATTCTTTTCCAGTTTTACATTTATCCATACAATTATTAAAATTAATTATCTTACAGTCACTGTGTTACACATCAGGAATGAAAAGTCTAAGTGTTAGTTTTTCACTGTAAGTGCTGCATAAGCTTGCAATTAATGGAGGGAGTAACATGCATAGTTCATAGTTTAGATTGCTAGCATGCATGGTAACAATTCTAAAATTCTAATGCATTAAATTTACCTGGTGATTCAATTAACACAAAAAGTTCTGATTAAATGCTTCTTTGTTTCTCACATCTGATGTTCTTAACAGATTCCTGTAAGACCACAGTTTTAGAAGCAAAATTATAAAGACTGCATCTAGCTATACTGATCTCCAATCAACCTACCCAAGATGTATTACACAGATTCTCATGTTCCATCAACTTCTCTTTTCCACTTATTCTTCTTGTTCTCAATGTGTGATCTCATCCATGTATCTTTATTTCAAACAGGATGACTCAAAATGATCTCTAGCCCCCTGCTATTCTCCATTTCCCCATGCCTAGATGTATATTGGACCTGGAATTCTTTTTCTCTAATATTTTATGTGACTCCCATCTCCTGCACCATCTCAGGTACAGGGGATCTTCTTTGAATTCATTCAATCACTGGACCCCTTCAGGCCAACACCTTTCCATATTCTCTTTTTTCTTTCCCGCCCTTTGCCTGATGAATCTGTATTTGTCTGTCTTAGGCTAATCAGTGTTCCTGCAGATATTCGTGTGTGTGTGTGCGCGCTTGCGCTTCTGACTCCTGTTTCTTGGTTCAACGTGTCTGTTACAGCATCTTATAGTAGAAGTTCTCCATCATTGTGGTTCTTGCTATTACTGAGTTTTCCCCAAACTTACAAGACTGTTTGATGGAAATTTGCAAACTCCATAAGGAAAGGAGCAGTGTTTGATATTACTTGCCAATTATTTCTAGCTGGGAACAGGCCTGTAATTGCTCAGCCTGTATCTTACTGGTCAGGCTCCTGACTTAGCTTTTCCTACACCTCACTAGGTAGGATACAGAGTTCAGTTATTCTTCACTCGCTAAGTTATTGGTGATTTCTCTGCCCACCCACCTAAGACTGTTCTACTCTTCAATTGATATATGGCTTGTTAGAGTTATAAGTCTGTTTTGGTTATCCTAAAATGCACGAAGTTATGTAAAATCTTGCTTGAATACTATAACTGCTAAATATAAATAAAGTAATAAAAAAGAAAAACTTACAGTATAATATTAATTAACAGTTTTTCTGGGGTGGTCATTTGGTACAGTGCTTGTGATGCTATTCAGCATGCCTACATACCCTATCAGAATGTCTTTTTTAAGTTCTGACTCCCCTTTTTCAAATCCAGTATCCTGGTAAAACATTTGTCTGGAGGCAGCAAATGAAGTTCTTGGGTCCCAGCCACCTACATGAAAGGCTGTGATTGAGTTATTGTTTCTTAGTTTCAATCTGATTCATTTACAGCATTTGGGAAGTAAACTAATGGCTGGAAAATTCTGACTCCCTGCTGTTAAAATAAATTAAACTAAGTTTAAATGAATGTATGCTGAGACTCAATCTATCTTTCTATATCTATCTATATATTTATATCTATGTTCATAGAGGATCAAGAAACATAAAGAAGTACAGCAGCCCGGTTGCAGGATTTGCAGTGCCCTAACAAGCTCTCCACCAACAAATTTTACATTTTCAAATATAAATTTCTAGTAAGCATTTGTTCAAATTAAATGACCGAGCAGCACAATGTCCTCCTTTTGCACAGAATGTAATCCAACTAGAATTTATTGAGTCCAATCTGGGCAAGGTTGCATAATAAGCAGTAGAATAAACTGTAGCAATTTTGGTATCTGATCAGATTGGTGAAAATGATTGTGTAATTCCAGTTTAGAGATTGAATTACTACCAGAATCAACATCCCATATGGCTCTGTGCTCAATTTATTTGAGCAATTTGTAGTATCTCATTTTGATCCTATCAAACATATCATGTACAACATAGTTTTGGTTTCTATTATAATTTTCCTGACAGATTGATTAAAATCACCTGATATGATCTGCTGGGAACATTTAGAACTACAGTGTTTTATGGGGACTTTCACAGATTTATAGACCAGACACAGTGAGGGGGGGAAAAAAGATTGATCAGGGTTTACCATAAACCAAGGAAATACGCCAAAAGTGAAATGTTTCATTAACACACCATTAAATATTTATCTTACAATAACAGACCCTAGATTAGGATGAGGCAAAATATTATGTCACATTCTCTTCAGATAAGAAAAATTGAAGTGAAAGGTCAGTCAGTGGATAATTTAAGTGAACGAGCTCAGGGCGATGGAAGATGTTTGTACATACTGTCGAGCAAACAAACTGAGATGAATTACAAGCAGGCCATGAATAGTGCACTGCTAAAGGAAGGGGGTTTAAATAGACCTGTCTAGTGAAAGTGACTCCTAATGTGAGTAATCTAAGGATAGAAGGAAATAATTTTTTAGTTATGGTGACCTGTATGGTAAGCAAAACAAAAGACAAATAGTTCATGATGTTCCTTATATTTACTTTTAATATTTACTTGTAAATACATGTATATCATATATAATATTTATGTAAAACTTTCAACAATTAAAATTTATTACAAATTTCATGGGAAAATGAAGATACTTATTTTGTTATCAGAATCTTTGAAATCTATGCAGATATTTTTCAAAACGGGCATTTTGCATGAGCTTCTAAAAAACCATTTGTATATGCAATTTTTAAAATTTCTGGTATCAAAGTAGCTTTTTCACATTTCATTTTAACAAATTTTCAGGGGTCAGTGGGATAGGTTTACTGACTAATTCTCCACCTCCAAATGCCGGGATCTCATGTGAGTGCTGGTTCATGTCCTGGCTGCTCTATTTGCCTATGACATGGGAAACCTGAAGAAGCTCCTGGCTCCTGCTTTGGATTGGCTCAGCTCAACTCAGGGTACTGTGGCCATTGGGGAGTGAGCCAGGGGACAGATCTTTCTCTCTTTCCTCTCCTTCTCTCTGTATGTATAACTCTTTCCAATAAAAACAAATACATCTTTTAAAAAATGTTTATGGTACCTTTGATATATTCTCACATTATTGATAGCCAGAAACTAAGATTTTCAAATTTCTTGAAAATATGAATAAGCATTTTTAAGAAGCTAAATGACTTTTCACTTGTCTTTTCTTTCTCAAAAATGTTTTCCTATGTGAACAAAAGTTTTAATTGTGAGAGACAGAAGATTGATTTTCTGAAATTTAGCTCTGCATCAGCCAAAATGAAAATATGTAAGTCTTTGTGCTACTGATACAGCCATAATTTTTAGCAAATGTGATGGGATTGAGAAACATGAAGCTACTGAAGAACTATGACCCCAATAAAATCAATCTCAAGTCAAGTAAAATCATTAGATTAGATTTGTGATTTAAAGGTTAATATCGCCCCACCATTTCCAAATGTCTGTTTGTTATAAATCATGATATTAAGTTCTAGTGCTTGTAAAATATTGAATGCTTAGGTTACTGCTGTGATGGTGTTGTCACAGTCAATCTTCAACTAGGATTCCATACTACAAAGTCAACCATTTACCCTCATCGTTAACTATTATAGCTTTCCTCAGGCCAGTTTATAACTCTGTATGAAGCAACTCCTGTACTACTTGATAACATTACAGATTATTTTACTACTTTATACATTTCCTGTAAATGGAATCATCCAATATGTACTCTTTTATTCTTCTACCTTTTATCATTCAGTCCCATTATTTTGAGATTTATGAACGTTTTAGCACACATCAATGATTCACATTTAGTGTTAAATTTTTTGTTATTTTTCCATGATACAGATTAAAAGGAGTTCATTTTCTATACCATTCTCCCTTGTGTAAATCACTATTATTTGTCCCCAAGTTATTGTAACAGCCAACTCATTCATTTCACCATTGTAATCTTAACTTCCTGATATGTAAATATATCATGACTCTGAAAATATAGGAAAATGTAGAAAACATAGTAATGTAATCTAAAAACATAATTATAAGTATTAATGGGGATCCTAGCACTAACTTATTTTTAGGTGTTCAATAGTACATACGGCTAGGGATTATTTTTTGGACAAAGCACAATGATGCAATTTTGAGTTAATTTTTAGGAAAATTTTATCAAATTCATGTTAGGATATGATTTACTTATATTAATATTTTGTTTATATACCAATATAACCTCCACAGGGAGAAAAAAGCAGAATCGTGGCAAGTAATTTTATAACTAATCCATGAGTTATTTTTCATGTCAGACATGATAGTCTTCTCAGTGTTATTATGTATATACATACTGCAGGTATTTAGATATCTAATGTTCAGATGTATGTTTGTGCACATATATAAAGTAGACAGAGATAGAGACAGACGGGTTGTCTGCTGCCTGAAGACATTTAAGTTATCATTGCTGCATGTAAGACAAGGGTCCTACAGTATTTAAATGGATCTAGAAAAGCCCTGTCACCTAATGATGTCCTAATGCCAAAACAAAATGTATTATTTATTAATGATGATTCTGGTTAAACACACGTTCTGTACTGCCAACCATATAAAATTATGGCTGACAGCATATGCAATCATATATAATACACAGTACTTGATAATTTAACAAATATAGCAGCATTATGGTCCATTTGCTTACTATACTATACTTTGGTCTTCTATTTGAGAATATGCATATTTGACTTACAAAAAAATTCCTGTAAGCCTGCATGCTATGTTTTCCTAGAAGCAACCTCACACTTGAGCTGGTCATATCTGCTGTGAGATCACCTGAAGCGACTGATGATGCCATCTAAGCATGTGTCAATATGAGTAGTCTACAATGTTCATTCAAGTTGATGCATTTCTCAGAGCACATTCCTTTCACTATACAACAAAAGACTGTAGGCTTGTACCAAGAGTACGAAAAGTTGTAAGAAACACAATGGCTGCTCTGAAGAAATCCAGCCATTGGGCCTCAAGCGCTGTGCACTGATCTTGGTTAATTTTGAGTCCTGATAAGCTCATTGATAAATCTTTGCCTCAATATCTTAACACATTATAAAAAAATACATCATTTCTGTTGCTGAAAATTCATAATTTTTATGAACCAAAATGAGAAAAAACATGCGAATGCGCAGAGTTTAAAATTAAAAACATTCTGTAGATTTAAAAATGAAAAACTTTCTCTAATGAAAAACAATGACCTTAATCTTCTTGATTTAGCCAGGTTTATGCAGGCTCCTACTTTCCTGAATATAGAACCCTGAGCAGCCTGTTGTTAAAAAACTTAAAATTCTGCAATTGTTCTTTTGTTCTCTACCTCTTTACACTATGGAGATATAGATATAGCTATAGATATAGATATATATAATTATATATATCCATAAATTATATATATGTATAAATTTCTTCTCAGTTTCACAGCACAGTAATATCTTTAATAAAAACATGAGACCCTTCCCTTCAAAATGTAGTCATCAGTAAAGATAGAGTCATTGTGGTGTTACAACTTTCTGGGATGGTAGGTGTCTCACAGGCACCTTGTTGGATATGTAAAGCTACTGGAGAAAGTTGACATCTTCCTTGTGTAAACTCAGCACACATGGATGTCTCTGTTATCCTCGTCATAGCATTTAGCCCCACTCCCACCCAGTGTAATTGAAGCCTGCCTCAGACTGAGATTTCATCTCTCTAACACACTGCAGTCTCCTAGGATTAATTCTTCTTTGTTCATTCAGCTTCGTGAACACTGACACCACTTTAATAAATTTGCTCTCTTCTCTGATCTAAAAGAATCTTGATTGGAGCTTTTAAGAACAGGCATCCAATGCAACTCATTTTCCAAGATGTCAGCACCACATAATCAAAAGCCTAGAGGGTTGGCAGATGGGAGAAATCAACTCTGAAGTTCTCTACATGTGCTTTTCACCTTGAGAAAGTTGCTGAAACCTTTGATAAAGGAAATCTTCTGACAAATGAGAAGATGGGCAAGGTGACCTCTTATTTTGCATCTGAGGCCTTGAATTCTATTCCTATTGGAGTCCCATTTGATTAATGAGAAATCCAACGCATTCATGGTTTGATCAGCTGATTCACATCAGTTTTATGCTC